CGCTCGTCCCGCCCCAGGCCGGCCCCGCCCGGAGAGGGCGCCCGCCCCGCCGGCGGGGCGGCCGCTGTGGCCGGCAGCGGAGCGCTCGGGGCCGGCCGGAGCCGGGTGATTCCGACACCCTGGGCCGGGAGCGCCGAGCGGGAGCAGACCCTGCCATGTCACCTCGGTACCGGGTACTGGGGTGCAGGAGAGCTGGCGTCACGCTGACCTCACGCCATAAGTGTCACAACATGAACCACAACTCCGAAGCCTTCATCCTTTCTCGTGTGCGTTGTCTGCTCTGACAATCAGAGAAAGTAAAATTTACTTTGCAGTGTTTTTATCTAAGACGTGCCATGTCTGTTACGTGCAAATTATATCTACTCCTTTATACACAATCACAGCATAGTCAGACTGGGAAGGGCCCTGAGGAGATGCCCTGGTCCAAACTCCTGCCACAGAGTGGGTGTTCAATGTCTCAAGAGAGGGAGACTCCATGACTTCCCCGGGCAGCCTGTTCCAGTGCACTGCCACCCTTAATGTAAAGTTCTTCCTCATGTTTAGGTGGAACTTTTTTATTTTAATATATGGTCATTGCATTTTGTCCTGTTGCTGGGCACCACTGAAAAGAGTCTGGCACGATCCTGTTGGCACCTGCCTTTGAGATATTTATACACATCAATGAGATCTCCTCTCAGTCTTCTATAGACTAAACAGGCCCAGGTCCTGTAGTTTCTCCTCATTAGAGATGTTATGAATGAGGTTCCTGTATGTCTGGAATTTAGCAGCAATTTTAATTGAGCAGCAATTTTATATAAAATAACACAATCAAATATAATCAAGCAGGTACAAAATAATTTGGCAGTGGTTCGGATAAAGCATAAGTAAAACTGATTGATAGGGATACAGGGAAGGCTTCCCACCCTGCCTCATGTATAAAAGGCAAAAGGATCCAAACACTACTTATATACTGTATGCTAATACATGTTCATCAATATTTTGCCATAAGTCTCCTATTTTTGATTCTTGAAATCCATGTCATATACTACATAGCACATGCTCCGCTTGTTTCTAAGGGGTCTTCTTTGGCTTTTGGTGGTCAGTTCTGAAGAAGGCTTCTCATCATTGTCACTGTCCTTTGAAAAACCCCAGAGATAGCACATGCACCCCAAGTCTTGTGTTATAGAAGCCAGCATTATATTCTAAAAAGAAGCCTTACTATTTCATAGATACCTGGAATAATTTCAATTTTTGACCATTTCAAGGCCGATTCTCTAATTAGCCCGAGGCCTATTCCATTTTGGGATGTTACTTGTCTCAAACTACATCCTGCATCCTTTTTTCTCATGAACATCTGAAAACATGTGTTTTGTGACACTAATTACATATCCTTTTCCTCTATTACTTTTTAACAAATATTTTCTAAAATATTGATATAGTTACAATTGTTAGCACGAATCACATTCATCACAGAGAGATGCTCCAGTCCCATCATCTTTGTGGCCCTTCACTGGACACTCTCTGGTACTCCTTGTCTTTTTTTGTACTGAGGAGCCCAGAACTGGACATTGTACTCCAGAGGTGGCCTCACAAGGGCCAAGTAGAAGGAGAGGATTGACCTCCCTTGACCTGCTGGCCATACTCTTCCTGTTCTCTTTGTGGCATTTCTTGTCCCTCTACACATAAAGTTGGGTTGGGCTGTCTTTAGCTTGATTCTTTCATCCCAGGCTATAAAGACTGATGCTTTTAATTTTGGATCCATAAATTCCTGCTTCTGGCCAAATTTCAACGGCCATACTTTCTATATTGAATATTGCTCTGCTGGAGGGGTGGTGTGTGTCACATCAACACTCACAGGCAGTAGTGTCCAGGCTGTGTCCCACATGGGACACTGGGGGGGCTCAAGGCTGTACACAAAGTGAATGGCTGCTTTGGATGCATCCTAAGTTCGCTTTGGAGACAGTGGAGAGAGAGATCTCAAGCTAGTTTAGATACTTGAATAGGAGAATTTTACAATGCACAACTCATTCTGCTGGGACCTGTTGCTCTGAGAAACAGAGTAAATGAAATTGTGTCATGCTGCACTGCTGAGTCTAATGTAATTCCAGTACTTAAGCTGTTTGTATGCCTTCAAACTACACAGCAGCTACAATGTAGTCATACTGCTCTCAATGTACTTGGGGTAGAATGCTGACAACATAAAAATCACACAAGTCTTTGCAGAAACATGTATTTTAGGAAAGTTATCACTGTCACTGGCAGCTTCATCAGTAACTCAACCTCTGTTGCCTGATCAGCCTTCATGTTTTTTGAAGTTACCTGGTAAAAATGGTCAGCAACAGACAGATGAGCTATGTCAGGCCACACTGCACACACTCAAACATTAAGAGGAAAGAGTTGATGCTTTCCACTCAAAAATTAAGAAAGCAGATTTAATCTTTTCCACCTCTGACTGATCCAGAATGCTATTATAACTCACTAATACTACTTAGCCTTTCTAAGTTTCGTTCCCTTTAAATACAACAAATCCAGTTCCCTATACTCTTGAGCCTCAGGTTGGGTAAGGCAAATAGCTTCCCATGAACTCAGAATGTGTAACATAACATATATACAGGCATGTTCATCTTATCAATAAAATTGCACAGAAAATGCAGCAGGAAAAAAAAAAAATCTAAATTCAGGAAAGTACATATTTGATACTATATACATTTTATTAATAGGAGTGCTCTCCAATTTGGATGCAAGTACCTGTTTCCTAACTCCTGAAGTAGACTACTTCAGAGTCATTTGACTGTTTAACATGATTAAGCTTTTAAATTGTGTGCAATTTTACAGAAAAATCTACTGTTAATTTGCTACTTAAAATATTTTATCACATTTAGAACTGAGTTTTAAAATTATAATTGAGTACTCTTTGATAAAATAATATGAGCTCATAGTGCTATCACAGCAGGTCATGATGTGTGTTCCCGAGCTGTCATATAAGGTGCAGCAAGTATTCTGGAGAAACTACTGTGGACAGGTGGCTGCAAGGAAAATGAATCTTACTAGATTCTAAAGCATAACAACAGAAAGGACTTTCACTGAGATTTAGTTTTGCACCTGGAAATTGTAGCTATACAGGAAAACTTACAAATATTTGCACATTCCAATACTTAAGATAAAGAAAAGGAAAAAAGTCTGGATCTTGAAGGTTTGAAAAGAGCTGCTGTGATCCTGTATCACAGTGGGGGTTAGATTGTAATATCTATAATGCACTTCTATTCTATGCTGTTACAAGATGTTTACCTCCCAGTGGTTTTTACTGAGTGCAGATCAAGATAAAGAGTGAGGATGGTGAATTACTGGACTAGAATTGTTTTTAATGGAAATGGAAAGGAACAGGGATGTGATTGCACCTCTGCTTTCTCAGTTTTCCTCCAGGAACAGGGGTGAGAACCTGAAATGCTTATAAAATGTAGCTTGGAAACAGAATCTTGTACTTTGTTGGAGTCTGGTATGGTGTTGGTGTGGATCTTCTTCTGGAGCCCAGTGCTTTCACGAGTGTTTTTCTG